CTCCTCGCGATGCATCCACAAGTCTCTTGAGAACCTAGTGTCTAGTTCTGTGGAATCTCTGGATTTGAGCAGAAAGGATCTGCAGCATCTAACCGAGGATATATATAAGTTATTCAACCTTAAAGTAAGTTTCTCAGATATTGCAGCAATTATTAAAATGTATAATCACTAGAGAGTAATTGACTTGTTGGTGAAAAACCCTAGATTCTTAAAATTTGTTTCTTAAAGCTTCGAATTTTTTAAAAATTAAATGTGCATTTTACATTACGTTATTTCTATACAATCTTGGAAAATTACTCAAATAATTGTTAGATAAAATTTTACATATTTGCTATATATGTAATACATGAATTGTGTTCTACGCAATCTAATATTGCTACATTTTCAAGTATGTACACAAATATATTTTGTCTTAGCATCTGTATCTGGAAGGAAATTCCCTGTCTGTGATTCCAGAGGACTTTTTTCAGCACCTGCCATATCTTGTTTGGCTGGATCTACGGTATAACAGAATTAAAGAGCTTCCCCCAGGAATTGGATCCCACAAGTAAGCTGTGTCACTACTTCAACAATAATTTTTGTATAATACGTATTCATTATGAAATTACCTGTTAGTAAATGTTGTTCTTTACTGACTTAAAATGTGAAGTATGATTAAGAAAGAAGTTCAATACATGGTATATTATAGCCAAACTAGTTGTGGCAGTGAAGCCTCGTTTCTAGTTCTCATACTGCCTGATTTGCGTATATAAAACAGGGGTATAGTTTTCATAATAAAAGCTAAGTTGAACCCCTTCCTCTCCTATGTCTTCTTGCAGCTCATCATCCTTTTTCTCCACGGTCTCACTCCAATACAGGAAGTGAGCCAGGCTGGGCAAAAGGCATCTGGGGAGATTGTGATTTATTGGGAAGTGTGAGGGCTCAGCTCCCCTCAGACCTTTTCATTGCTAAAATGAGACCATCTCCCTCCAACACTTTACTTATAAATGGGGCAGGCACCAACAAATAAATGTGGCTCCCTCTGTCATAGCAAGCTTGGCCTGTAGGTCAGCATGCAACTGGCTTATCTCCATGAAGGAAAACTTGCTCACATTTTTATCCTGCCTTCCTACCCGGGTGGCATACATGGTTTCATTCCACACCCGCATTTTATCCTCTCAAGAAACTATATGAGACAGGTTACTCTGGGATATAATGACTGGCACAAGGACATGGCAGAGTAGGGATCTGAGTGCTGGTCTTTTCAGTCGGATATATGGAACAACTGTCATGCATGCACTGATGCAAATACACCGATTTCAGCATACTGATCCATACAGTAGTGTACTGATACGTACAATAGTATAAGCAAACATGTATATATATATTCTAAATAATAAACAGATTTTCCCAAGAGCTTTATTTACTTAGTGCTGTCAGCCTTCATGGTAGTTCGCAGAACACACCGAAATTGTAACATAGACAATTTCAGTAAGAGTAGGTAACTAGAAAGTTTTCCCAAAACCTTAACAGAAAACGTGGATTTAATGAGGAATTTGAAATAAGTGAGAGAGGTGGCATCTCACAGGTGCTCTTTGAAATGTTACTCCTGTAATGTGGAAGAAATTTCAAAACTAAATTATCTAATTAAAAATAACAGTTGCCATTTAATTGAGTTTTGTTTTCTGTTTAAATATTTGTTATTTTCTTTTCCCCCCTAAAGGCAATTGAAAACTCTGCTGCTGGAAAGAAATCCTATTAAAAGGCTGCCTGTAGAGTTTGGCAAGTACTTTTTCTTCCATAATACATGCTTAAAAAAATATAGCAATTGTTAGTAATTAGCCTTTACTGTGCATGCACTCTTGAATAATAAGGAACTTGCAATAGGCTTCATTGTAATACAATCCATCTACCCCCCTTGGCACAGTGTGGTATGATGACTGTTGAATTAAAAGGCATTAGCAACAGACAAGAAAGTAATGACTAACAATATCAGGATTAGAGCTAATAAATCAATAAGAGCTCCTCAGAACATGACCAACTGGAGCTTCTCCATGCATACTAAATATGACAGAATCCAGAGAAAACAAGCCCATAGCACCAAGGGACCTTCTTCAGGTCATTATTGAGAAGCTGGATGTTTTAATATTGGCTTCAGAATTAAGTAAGAGTGAGGGAACCTGAACCTCCAGAGCTCTGCATTTCAGCTCCTCAAATTCATCTCTGGAATTCAAGGAACAACATTGCTCAGGCTCCATGCAGATGTAAACCTTCAATTATGGTGTTCCTACCTAGCCATGAGCACCATGCGTTTAGGGGCCTTTGGCATCAAGCACTGATTTCTGAAATATCAGATACTGGAATGACAGCCTCCATTGCCCCAGTGCTTTTTCCTTGTTAGCTTCTGCTAGAAATGTCCTGAGTGACTGTGTTATTTGTCTGGATGTGCACTCTTCTGCTGAGACTTGCCCTTGTTCCTGAACCCACAAATGTCTGTATTCAGAAATGAAGCTATTCTGTTATTATCAAAGATGTAGTTTATACAATATGATGAAAGTTCAGCTAGCTGTTCTCATGCTTTCCCTTAAACCAAGTAGATCAGGACATTGGAAGGCCAGCTAAGATCACTTTTCTGATCTGCGAAAAATATAATGGTTTTTCCTAATATTATCCCAGGTTTTCTGTGAATACAAAAGCTAAACCATGTACCTTTCCCATACTAAGTAGGGGAGCTAGATAGAAATGTAAGCCAAAGGCTTGTTTATATGGGGAACATAGTCATTTCATTTTAGATGTTAGAGTGCTTTGCTTCATATCAGAAAAGTATTAACTACAATATAGAACTGTTTAAAGCCCCTGTGTGTAATATGGGTAGTCATCATTTCCCAGTTGGGTAAATTATTTCATCTGTCCCAAACTTTAAAAAAAACAAAAAACTTTTATTTCCCTTTACCCTCCTTATGACAATTTGTTGACCCCCCCAATATACATTTATAATGCTTGTAATGTATATAGGTAAAGGTAAAGGTTCCCTTGCTCGAAAGCCAGTCAAGTCCGACTCTAGGGTTGTGGTGCTCATCTCCATTTCAAATCTGAAGAGCCAGCGCTGTCCGAAGACGTTTCCGTGGTCATGTGGCCAGCATGACTACACACCAAGGCGCACGGAACGCTGTTACCTTCCCACCGAAGTGGTACCTATTTATCTACTTGCAATTTCTTGCTTTCGAACTTATTCATTAGGGAACATCTTATATTATACAAGAGACATATATAATGTGTCTAAAGAAGCCTATACATTGTATCTTCTTCCTTAGAGGCTTCTGCACCTCAAGAATTAAGCTACAGTAGCAACCTTTGTGTTCTTCTAAGTACTTAATTCCTTACTGTGTAGCCAACAGGCTGTATAACAGGAACAGGAGCATTTTTGTATTATATGGACACAACTGAGTACTCATGAAAATTGAGAGAGAACAGAGAGGTGGGGGGGAAGAGGCACAGAAAATAACCAAGACATTGGGCACAGCAGGATAACTGCTGTTACTGTTGTTAATATTTTGTAAGCTGCAGAGGAAGTTTATTTTAAAACATTCATATTAGCTTTTAATTGCTAGTAATTTAGAATAGTGCAACCACCTTCTGCTAAGATATTTGTTATCCAGGAGAGGCTTTGCTAAAAGAATGTGTGCAAATATGTTACACAATTTAGTAATGAATAAAGTACAAACTCGCATAGAATATTAAGTAGTTTATTCTCAGAAAGCAAAGAAAATTGATGCTCATTCAAGCTGTGAATCGACTTTTTCAAAAAGGCATTTTCTCAAGGCAGTGTGAAAAATCTGCTATTGATTGCCATCAGGATCTTGGCACTTTTCATACTGATGTGAGCTCTGTTTACATGAAATCAGCCAAATGTTTTGTGTAAAGAATTATATTCTTGTCCAAGAGCAGAACTACTTGTTTACATAAATAAAGCTGGTATTTTGCAAGAGCATTGTTGCAGGTTTCCATTCTGAAATGTATTTTTCATCCAACTGTGAACAAGATAGCTGTTATACCAAAATGTGTCCACAAGTATCTGCATGTGTTATATTTATTAGTTCAGTTGTGCCAATCACAATGAAAACATGTGTTTATTCTAAAGCAGATAAAATATTGGATGTTATGCTCCTGGAGCCCAAGTCATAATAATATTTGGCAGCTATCTTTGTTTCATTACTAAAGAGAATGGAGGTTGTATTCATGTCATTAAAATAAACGGCAAAATTCCCATATATTTTTAAGAGTTAGGAAGTGGGGCGCACATACACAGACTGATGCCTAAGAGAGCCTGCATTTCCACTACTGATAGAATCATAGAGTTGGAAGGGCTTCCAGGGTCATCTAGTCCAACCCCCTGCACAATGCAGGAAATAATTGTGCCTTTCATCTGTTTTCCTGAAACAGTTCAGACTAGGTTGAAACATTGTGGTTGAGGCAAAAAAGGCTTTGTAGCAAACATTTTATGGGGTGATACTCTGATGGGAATATGTAGGTTTTCAAGTTTTGCAGCCCTTCATCCAAAAAAGTACAGATGATGGAGATTTTTGTTTAGACTGTGAACCTCAGGGAGCCATTCTATAATAGTTTACCTGATGTGAGCTTCCATTACATAGGAGAGGAAGGAGATGATATCAATTAAAGGATGTGATACAGTGATCCAAGGTCTCTGCATGCAAAAGATCCAGGATGCATCACTGGAGTAACCCTTACTTCATCACTTAGACTGAAGTAACCCTTAGTCTGCTATGGAGATGATAGAAAAGGTTTAGGCTGTTCAGCCACTATGTACCACGTAGGGTACCTATATGCTTTTAAGTGATTTGTTGGCCTTGGTAGGCAAGCCACTTAAGGAGCTGTTCCTAGGGGAAGGTTTCTGTTCCACTGTGCTTTAGTGGAGTATACATCTGCTGTGTGCATGCAACTGAAGACTTCACGTTATCTCTCATTTTCCGAGATCTCCACTCTGTCTGATATAAACAGCCTTGGTACTAGCTTTGTTATGGTTGGTTGGGGGGGGGGGTTAAAGGGTGTAAACATTTTAAAATCACAAGTTTATACACTTCACCCTGCAAAAGCCACTCTTTACAATGCCTCTTATTTTCCAGAGTCATGATTAACTGCATCTTAGCATTGAGAGCCAGTATATTTCACTCACTTTGTGTGCTTGTGTTGGCTCAGTGGCAAAAGTATAGTTTTTAATCTATACAAAATTAGCCTCTACCATGTACTCTTATGATTTACACAGGGCTGACCAGGAGTTATTGCACAGTTTCTTCTAGAGTCTGTGAAGAATATGTAAGAGCACAAACTGCTAAGCCACTTCTCTGGGAAAATGCAGAGTTTCTATTCAACTTGCTGTAAGATGCAAATGTTTTCCAAACAGCACAGAATTCTCACAAACAGCCTTGAGTTTTGCCCTTCGTGAACTTGCATTTGTTTTGTGCTGACTGAAAGCACTTTTAAGATCTATTAAAGGGTGCCTTGGAAGCCCCATGCAGCTTTTGGGTTATTCAAATGTGTCTATCCCAGGCAATCAAGAAAGGAGCTATTCAAGGCTCGCCCTTGTCCCCTCCTGTCTACATTCCCTTCCCAAAGACATGCTGAGTTCTGGAGGTTTTGTAGGAAAAGGAAGTAGAAGCTGGGAAGAGAACAGAGTAGACAACAGCAATTGAAGCACAGCCGGTGGGGCTCCTTGTCAGGGGGTCTCTAGTGATTATGTGACCGATTGAAGGAAGGAGGGAAGAAGCAAGTTAATTGGAGGCTGGGCAGGTGGGACCAGGAGAATCAACAATGGGAAGGCTTGGAATAGAAAGGGAAAGTGGAGATGGAGGTTGAGTGCAGAAGTGCTGGGCAGGGAGCGCAGGTGCCTCTGTATAATGATAATGAGGCTTGAAAATTAGGTGCTTTTGCTTGGCAGCTTATTAGATCAGTTTTGGGCCATGGTTGTATATAATTTGCCAAATAACCATTTTTTGGACTTTTTTTTACACTTAGTAGTTCAGGATAGGATCTGAGATGTGCTCTTTCTTAAGAAATACTTTTAAGTTAAAGCTTGTTCTCCCTCCCCCCCCCCCCAGGTAACTTAACTTCACTTACAGCCTTGAATCTCAGACATTGTCCTCTGGAGTTTCCACCTCCTGAAGTGGTACAGAAGGGCCTACCAATTATTTTATGCTTCCTTCGAAAGTACATTAATCAGAATCTTGATGACTCAGATCCTGTTACTCCAGGTACAATGATTTTTAGTACATATTTTTGAAAAGTAGTATTTACCTAGTTGAGTACATGGGATAGAATTGTTCATACTACATTCTGCATATGGTTTAGGACTGTTAGTCATTATTACCATTTCAGGGCATGAGGTAGAAAGTTGTACAGTAGCAGAGTTACACCCTTCCAACTCTGTTCAAGTCCATGGGCTCAGAAAGATATAACAGTTTAGGATTGCACTGTTAATGTCAGTAGTTTGCCCATTTAAGAGATTTCATATTTAGTAATATAAACTATTACTATATAATAATATTCTTAATATAGTTTTGATATTTAAAAAAGGTCATTAATGATTTATATACTTGATCTGGGGGGCTTAATTACACTGGGGACAGCCAGATCAACCACTTCTGATTCTCCATTGCCATCTTATTAGAAGGCAAGGGAAGAAAGGTGAATGCATTCAGTTCCCCAGTTGGTAACTTTCCTCATATGGAAACATATCCCTGTGGGTTATTGTCTCCACATCAGCCTTCTCTGGGGCAACCAGATTTTGAGGATGCCCAATAATTACAGTGTAATCCTGTGCAGAGTAATGAGGTAAGTGGACTTAGACTGAGGTAACTCTGCATAGAGATAACATTGTTAGTCTAGCAATGTGAACTGTCATGACCTGTCACCTGCTGCCTTCTGCTGGAACCTTCGCACATGTTGGCTTTGTGGCTGTTAAGCACATAAAACAGGATTCAGCCACTACAGCACTTTATTGGATGCAACTGGGAACGTAGTCATCTGTCACCGCCATTGTGAATCATTTCCTATTTGTCACCATGTCTTTAACCATAATATATTACTTATAAATCGCTGCCTCCCATAACGTAATGCAACAGTTAATCTCCCATAAAACATGGAGTTGAATTCAGTGTGAAAATTCCACTTGCACTGTAGCTCTTATGCAAGCAGAAATGTAAGAAAAACACTGAGGTAGCTGCTTGCACTAAGTCAAAGTCATTATATCCTTACTTGTCTTTCTACTTGTGCAAGGTCTTGTGCAACCAGGTTTGGAGCTTTGTAATATGTAGGGAGGGAAGTTCTCTGTGTTGCACAAGATCTTGCACAAATGGGACTGTGGTAAGTCCATCTATGTTTCTGCTTGTGCATTACTGGATCCACTGAAAGTGATAAGGTGGCTTTTAAAGATCAGGCAATTTTCATATGAGTAACATTTTCATTCAAAGTTTCGGCACTTCACTTTTATCTCCTGCCTCTCTGTTAGCACCAAGGCTCAGAATTGATAAAGAAGGAGAGTATTGTTCTGAATGAACAGTACCAAGACTTGTAGTAGTACATTTAAAAAAGGAAACCAAAGATTGCACTTAGTCCCACTGTAGTCTCAGCTAGCTATAAATGCTGTTGTATCAGGATGTGGATGGAGAGTGCATCTCATTGAAAGCAGTGCAGTTCAAGAAGGAAGACATCTACATTTGGGTGTTCATCTGATTTATATCAGCAGTTCCTGGTCCAGAGAAGTACTGAGTAAGGTTAAAAGCTAATACTCATAGTACTCATATTGGATCAGTAATCACTTCATAAGGAATGCTGCCTTGAAGAATGTAGACTTTTATGTATAGAAAACCCCTTTGTTTTCCTACACAAAAATAGTTGCTGTCAAGATAAATAATATTTCACAAGGCAAATATATAATTAATCAAGGGGACAGGAGAAATTGTGAACTCATAATTTAAAGTTGACTTGGAAATGAAGGTCACTCTCATAAGTCATTTAATTTTTTTCAAAAATGGCCTTTATCTATGTGACGCCACACAATATGTGTCCCAGTATTAACACGTGGTAGAATTACACATATGAGTTGCCAGAACAGGACATGAAGCCCTTAATGGATATATTAAAGGGCTGATTTGAGAAACAGCAGGTTCTCTGCATTACTTTATCTTTACATCCAGCTGCCAAATTTTTCTCTCTTGTGCAGCCATTAAAGAAGCAAAATGGCACTATTATGTATGAATCTGGTCACACACACAATTTTCTAGTTCATGATGGAGCCACACCTTTATTTTCTATGGCAAGAAAATTGAATATTAATATTTAAATTTGCATATGTTTCACAGGAATAAGGAAGTACATACCTACAAATTGTTAAATGAAATATTGACAGTTGGAGGCCATGATTAAAATTTTTAAAAATGGCCATTTCCTGGATTATATCACATGCAGCATTCACTATGCTGATTTAAACCATCAGTGTTTCACTGTCTGATCCATTACTTTTTTGGGGTCACTGAATATTCTTGTGATTTCTGCGCATTATCTCCCAAGAAAAAGCATATATGTTGCACAAACTTCAGCACTGGACTCTCATGTATTAGTGATCACTGAAGGAACCAACCACTGACAGGACAAGATATTCTTTATAGTGTGTTTTGCAGACCTTTAGCCAGTATCAATTCAGTCCTTTATAAAGCGTGCACTTCCTCTGAAATTCTGTATTTCACAGAATTGACTTCTCTGCTAGAACAAGAAGCAAAGGCCATTGTTAGAGAATACAAGAGAAAATGCGACAGACCACCAGATCGTAGGAAAGCTTTCAACGATTTATGGAAACAGATGAGCTTCATTAGTGAGTTTAGTAGGAGCTGTTAGTATTAGACAAGGACAGACTCTTCTTGCGAATTCTTTTGTACTTGTCCTAATTCAAGATTTCTACTATATATAGTATAAGAAAATATACTTCAGTCAGATGCAGTATAAATGTTTGGGGTTAATTGTCAAAACAAGTAAGGACTTTTCCAAACCAAGCTGCTTTTGTGTACCTTTTTGGTACATATTTGCTGGGCACAGTCAAACTGTATTTTTAAATTGTTATAAGCATAACAGCGCAAAGTGTTGTGACGACTATGGTTTTCCTATTGTCACTGGAACCTTTAAAAAAGAATTGAAGTATCTCATATGGGAGTCTGTACTAAGAACTTAATATTTATTGTTAAATGGGATGTACTGCCATTACTGATGGCTGTCTGTTCCAGGATGGATGGATGGATGAAGCTGAATGACCACAATGGTCTGGCTCTAAAACTTTGTGTACTACCGAAATAAATATGGATGCAGTGTACCATAATGCAATATTGCTGCAGTAGCCCAAAACATGACCTCAAGCCTGTTTAGCAACAATATCATGCAGACATCTCAGGCAGAGATTTAGGATGTCTGCAACCATCTAACACTAAGTTGCTGCCTCTTAGGCTATCTAATGTGAGCTTTTACCAATGTTTCTGACATAGGAGTGCTTTTGAGCCAGTGTTCTAAATGCATGTTGGAAAATATGATAAAAAATGAATTCTCTGTCTTATAAATAATGAGCTAATTTTTTTCAAGGCATACCAAAGTTAATGTGTTTCTGTGCCAAAGGTTCCACTGTTTACTTCAGTGGAGAAGGCTGTACATGTGCAAAGGGAGATATGTGTAGAGTAGGCCCTCCACTGAAATGAATGCCAAGCTGACTCAAGCTGACTCAAGCAGAAACATTAGAGCAGATAATAGCTCTGGATTGGGGTCATGATCTTTCTGTCTTATTTCGAAGCGTAAATAGACTCCAGAACTCCTGCAAGGGTACTTTTTATCATCAAATAACCAGTTTTGATATCTGTTTAACTTTGCATTTTGATATAGTGCCTAGAAATAAAAGAATGTTTTGATTGAAAAATATAATGCCAGTGCACAAGATTGAAGATGATTGTTGTATGGTAGGGAAGCTCATAGTGTATTGTCCATCTGTCTTGCATAATCAGCAACTGCAGGAATAAAATAATATGAAGATGCAGGCATTTAAAATGGATGTTAGTATATTTATTCTAATAGAAATGTATTTGTACAGATGTCAATATTTGCATTAAAAATTATTGTAAACATCTCTGAAAATTGATTATTTTCCCCTGTACTTGGTATGGCTATTTAGAAACACAGGTAGTTGTTTTATATACAAATAAATTATCCATCAAAAATATGTGGTAGGTCTCTTTGATTGTTTAATTGCCCTCCTAGATGCATATATGATTTTTATAAAGCAGTAGGATTTTGTGTTGCTTTCCAAATTCCAATGCAACGCAGATTTTGAAGCTTCATAATAAGCTTCTGTGCTGGTTGTGTTCTGTTCCTTGCAGAGACATTATGAAAAAGCTAAATAAAACATGAAGTGAAAACAATACCGATTATTACTACACAAAGTGTTTGCATTATGATACATTTATATTTCCTTGCGGGCTTCTATGAAGAATATAGATTGTGTGTGTAATCTCCTCATACACCGTAGCTGCGGGATTAGGATACACAACATTGGGCTGAATACAAAGCATTTTCTGACAGCAGAACGGAGGGGTGTGTGTGTCAGATTCCTAATTCCCAGTGAAGATGTCCCACTTGGTATTCCCTTGCCTCTTCCTGGGAATCCTCTCTCCCCCAGGAGCAGCATTTTGGGGCGCTTACAGAGGGGGTAGCAGGAGAGGCAGGCAAGTTGCCAGACATGCATGCATGCAGCTGGTGAAAAACAACCTTTGGATGCAGACCATTGTGTATTTATGTGGTATCCCACCGGATGATCTATGTCAGAAAGAACAGAAATACGTTATGGAGTTTTGAAAGCATACCAACTTGCTGTATATGAATTTTCTATTACTGGATTTCCTCATTCTGCAGCCAAGGCAAATTTCTTTTGCAGAATCAGGAACTGCATGTGCAGCCCTGCTGGAATGGTCAGAGATGTCAGTTTTGGCCATGCCGACTACGTTTTCTGTAGAAAGATGACAGAATCAACATGGAAGTGTTCCTTCTGTAGTTCAGTTATTTCAGTGAGAAAACTGAATAAATTGTTTAAGGACTGAAGCCTTAACGTATTTGGTAATCAATTTTCCGTTTCTGTTGTGGTCACATTCTTAGTCCTAACCTTTTAAATTTAAAAGCCTCCCTTTATTCCATTAACAAATATCCATAAATGAATAAAAATTATCCCATTTTCTACCCAGGAGACCAATTAGATTGAAAGACAAGTCTTCAGGGATTCTGTCTTCCTTGCATAAATATTTCTAGCCTCAGTGACATTTCACAAGCAAGGAGATTTCAAGTTCTGGTTGGGATGTCTCAGGAGACACCCAGTGAGCTAGTCGCTTTGGGATTTGTGCGTGTTGCTCTTTTACTTCTACATAATATGTATATTCTCTGGGGGTTTATTTTAGATTATATTAATTGTACCCAATAATCTTTTCTGGTTGTTTGTGTACATTTAATGTGTTCCAACCTCAAGCATCCACCAATGAGACTGTTAATAACAGTGCACAAGTAAGCAAGTAAAGTTAGAGATGTGACATAGACATTGTTACATAAAGTTGTTTAATTTAGGATCACTAAAACAACAGGGCCACAATCCAGCTCATCTAAATGTAGGTCATAAAGGGCAGATGCATTATTGTACATCCTGGCTGTGTGTTATGCTGCAAGCTATGTGGGGTTGATACCTGCAAATGGGTGGTCCATTAGCTCACACCAGAAGGCTGTAGCTTACCAGGCTGTGAGAGAGCAGAAGGAACACTTCCATGTCAATTCTGTCCTCTATTCTATGGCCGTGAGAAAGGAAAAAGTGACTAGTAACATGAAACTTGGTGCTTCCAGGATCAGGTGCAAGGTCTATCCATACAGTAGAATAGGTCAAAATGCATCATACTGCTTCAGAATACAGGTGAGAGAGGTCTTTTAAATGCTCTCCCATGTTTTAAAAATCCCTGAAATGAGAAAAGTAGCACGTCAGGGAGAACATTCTATCCCTAGGCTTTTCCTCTAGTGATGATTTCTATTTCCAAGAGGTTTTTACTCTAGGGGAACCTTCCGTGATACGTTTCCTTTATCTGCAGTCTGAAGTGTGTTTTATTCTCTCCCAATGAGATCAGCATGCAACCTCCTTATGGTTCTGAATGTGCAGAACAGATCTAAATTGAGTCTTGGATATTAAACCAAAGTGGACACCCTAAATGGCACCTAGAAACAGGAATTAACCAAATAACACAGTGCACAGTGCCAGTTGGGTGTAGTGGTTAAGTGCATGGACTCTAATCTTGGAGAACTGGGTTTGATTCCCCACTCCTCCACTTGCAGCTGCTGGATGACCTTGGGCAAGCCATAGCTCTGTCAGAGCTGTTCTGGAAAGAGCAGTTTCTGTCAGAGCTCTCTCAGCCCCACCTACCTCACAGGGTGTCTGTGGTGGGGAGGGAAAGGGAAAGGAGTTTGTAAGCCGCTCTGAGACTCCGAGTGAAGGGTGGGGTATAAATCCAATCTCCTCTTCTTGTATATGCTTATTATTGATGTATAACAAAAATCTGGGGTTCATTTTCTGCATTTATTTTACACCAATGCAGGGGCTGATTGTGGGATTTAGCCTCAACTGCAACTTGTTGCCAAAATATTAAGGACTTTTCTCCCAGATCTTTCTGGGGAATATTCTCCCCCAGAATTCTACCTTCTTAGTAGTCTTGGGTAATGGAAACCTTGGTAGTAAATCCTACAAAACAGCCCACCTGCTTGAAAGCAATGAAGATCCTCAGGAGGTAGAGGAAGATCTTATGACAAGGAGTTAACTTGGCAAACTCATGAAGTATAACATGAAGAAAGACTCAGGCTGCTGTTCCCTCCTCGTATTAAACCAAATTAGTTGGCATGGCCACAAAAAGGTTATGTTATAATTTCTCTCACTTGATGAAAAGTAACTTTAGATTGTAACTCTTTATCCAGACATTTCAGGAGGCATTGCATTTGTCTGCAATGATGTGATATTTAGGCTAGAAAGTTTATAGGACCGAGTGATTATACAATTTGAAAAGGTTTGTCCAACTGAAAAGGCAGGCTCAAGAGGAAGAGGTATTCCAAAGGCTTCGTATTTTCTGTTCGAGCGTTAAAAATGGGGTGTATAAAAGCGTAGATAGAAACCAGGAGCCAACAAGTTTTTCTGCTGCTAAAAAACGGAGGAGGGTCCCCTTTGACCACCAAAAAAAAGAATAATGGAATACTCACGGACAAAACCTATATGGGAAAGGAAATGTACTAAGGAGGGGAGCTGGGAAAGATTGAATTGAAAAAGCTGGCTGGATCCAGCCCTAGGAGATGTAGAATTAGGCTCAGGTGTACCCCATATGCCAAAAAAGAAAGAAAGCTGCAACATGTATTATTTTCCTTTTCAACATACTTTGTTCTCTGCCATTTACTACCTGTTCCATTAATGGCACTATTATTTTCCTTCCCTACTGCTCCTCCAGATTATGATTGTACTTTACCAGTGATGACGAGAGATCGAGACAAGCCAGTCAGGTTTTCAAGTGTAAAGTCACATTTATCTCGATGCTTAAATGGAGTGTGTGTGTGTGTGTGTATATATATGTTATTTTTGCTGGGTTTTTATAAAAATATATATACACACACACACAGCTTGTTTTTGCCGGGTTCCTTTCCTGATTGGTTCTGTGAATGACTCTAGTGACCTCTTTTTGATTCTGACAGAAATGCCTCCCATTGAAAAGTTAAACCTGACAGACGTCGTGAAATCAAGTATGGATTTGTCAGATGGATGGCCTAATGAGGAGGAAATGATACGATTTCAGAAGCTGAGGGAAGAAATGATGCAAGATGAAAGAGAAGAGTATCTGGCAGACCAAAAGTTACACAACGAGTCTATGACTTCCATGTTTTCAAGGAAATCCAAGGCAAAACAAAGCCTCTCTCGCAAATGGTCTGTCATCTCATCCAGGTGACCAAATGTTTATGATATATATGTTTCTTATAAGTGGTTTACAGTATGCTCTCTTAATACAAAGGCTGGTGTGTATTATATGGAGGACTAACTTCTGTACAGACCTGCTTTGCATGGCTTAATGCAGTTACACCTGACCCCTCTGCTTATTTCACGGACCCTGCACGGTGCGGTGGATCCAGCCGTCCTCCAAGTAGCTTTCCTCCAGCCTTCAGAGCCTTCCTCCAACTTAAGTGGCTCTTCTTCCAATGGAAGAGCCACCTAATCTGGAGGAAGCCTCCTTAGATTGAAGAAAAGCTTCCAGCTTGAGTCAAAAAGAAAGGTGGAGTATACACATTTAAATAAATAAATGCACTTTTCAAAGTGAAGTGGTAGGATTCACCCCACTACCCTTTGATTACTACTTGTCATTTCCCCCCAGACCTTTCAGCACACATCTGTCCTGGATTGCGTGGTTACTGCCCTTTCTTTTTGTTAAAAAAATTGCCCTTAACCTGCACTATGGGTACCCCACAACAAAGGCAGCTGGAGTTTATGACACTCCTGAATAGGAATGGGAGGGTGGATGTGCCTGGCTATGGAGTAAATTAGGTCATAGTCCTGCCTGCCTCTCTCACGCTGCTTGATCCTCGCTCATGCTGCTTGCTCCTTGAACAATAGACTAAAGGCAAAACCACTCTGTTGCATGAAAGAAGGGGGGAGGGAGGGGGAGAAGCTGAATAGAACACCACTAGACTGTTATTTTTGTTGCAACAGACTAACATGGCTGACCTGGAATTTGATCTATTCTAGCAGCTGTACCAATAGCCTGAGTGAGTGCATTGATGGTAAGCAAGGAGGCTGTAGAGTGTTAAGGGCTGGAAGGGGCCTTGGAGCTCATGTAATCCACACACACCCCATCCAATACATACATGTCAGATTGGCCATCCAGCCTTTGCATAAAGACCTTCAGTGAAGGAGAGTCCACCACCTGTCAAGGCAGTCTGTTCCACCATTGACCAGCTCTTGCTGTTGAACACATGAAGCTTCTTTATACTGAATCAGACCTCTGGTCCATCAAGGACAGTATTGTCTACTCAGACAGGCAGCAGCTCTCCAGGGTCTCAGGCAGAGATCTTTCACATTACCTACTATCTGATCCTTTCAACTGGCAGTGCCAGGGGTTGAACCTGAGACCTTTCACGTGCCAAGCAGATGCTCTACCACTGAGCCATGGTTTCTCCTAATATTTTGCTGAAGTCTGTAGCATTGTAATTTCCACCCATTCATCCTAGATGAGGTGAGGATGTGATTTTAATAACCAACACACATTGCAGGTATTCTTGCTGCTCACATTTTTAACCCTCCTCTCTTTAGTTGTTTTGATTCATTTATTGGCTGTGTTTGTATCCTTTTCTACCCAGGCTCTTAAGATTGTGTACAGTTTCAACTATTAACCCCCTCCCCAAAAAAGTTACAAAAGACAGCACAAAACCCCCCAGCAAAACCCATCTTATGCCATATGAGGTCTCTTCAAGAGCTGGTGTTATGAGTACCTGGTCTTCCCTTCTCTTTTCATCTTCGTATAGTCCATGTGGCAAAATCTGTTCAAATGTTTAACATGAAGCCACTGCATGGACACTTGAATAATAATTAAAATTTTAAAGTGCTTTCCTTCACCTACATGATTATGACAGCTGAGTAAACTGGTTTTTCCATATTTTGAGATGCTCCATGTGCCATACGTCAAATTAAAATAAGTTAAGGATCAATAAGCTGAGCAATAGTTATGAAAAATGCTCCCATTCTTTCAGACCATTCTAGCAGAATTCTTTAAAAAGTCAACACTGCTTTTCAAGGAGCAGAAGTAGAACTCCATATATTCTGGTCTGTTGAACAAACAATAATGTACAAGGTAACCACCCTTCAGCTTGTATAGAGCTATAAATTGCTTGACGGGCTAAACAGCCACCTACTTTGCGCTTAAGGGAGAAATGGGCCGTGGCACATTTGGACATCTAGAAATGCAATGAAAGTAGACTAGGAAAAAGTAGGAGACAGAAAAGGCCCATGTGCTGTGCAATTCAAAGCCATGGTCAACAAAGAATGCCACAAACAAGGCCTTTTACCAGCAGGGTGCATAGCACAAAGATGTGCGGCACAGAAACCATTCCTGCATTTTCTTTTCTGAAGAAAGTCAGGAGGTGGCAGGCTGTCCACAGTCTCCTTGAAATGAGCAATGTTAACATGCTTGTTCAGGTTTCTTTAGTTCCCACAGTTCTCAGATAGAGGCCTGTATTCAAGGCACTGTACTAGCATAGCTGCAACCGTGCTGCCACCCCCCCCACCCCCCGTGCTATGCAGCTAACTGTTTCTGAAACCCAGGGGAGCTTCAAAAGCACCATTAAGAGAAGGTGGGGCAACAAGCCCCACCATCAGCCTATGATTTAGCTCACCAGCTACTGTTCCTGAGGAGCTTTTCTACTTCTGGTTATTGTGAAGTATAACAATGAACCTCATAACAAACGTGTTTTGTGTGTGTGTGTGTGGGTGTTCATTGGTTTGCAGTTGAACCTGGAATGGATCCAAAAGCAGGCCTTTGAACCAAGGTGTGAGTTGTGCCCTCCTACTGAAAGCTCTCCTGTCCCTAAGTGAATCCTGAAACAGTGCTTCTGGGTCAGAGGGGAGTTCTTCTGCTCAAAAAAAAAAAACAACCCTCCACCTAATGTACCTTTTTGAATACTGAGTCACCGATACAGCACTTTATTTGCATGCAGAAAGCCTTACGTTCAGTTCATGATGTCTCCATTTAAAGGTTATCAAGGTATAGAGGAAGTCCCGTCTCTGCCTTAGGCTTTGGAGAAGTCCACCAGTATGCAATACTGAGCTAAACAGACCAGTACTCTGACTTGGTATGGGCAGCTTCATATGTTACAATATTTCCTGGCACAGTCCCTTGGAATCAAAACTATCGGTCTAAGCTCTTTGCCTCTGTTAAAATGCTTTTTACCCTACACTAATGGGAACTATTGCCAACAGTGAGTATATGATCCCTTTTCTTAATATGCTTTATAAGAATCACTTTATGCTGATGGAAACATTAAGCAGGGATCCGCACCAGCTCAACTCCTTAATAATGCATACTTCCTTGATTGTATCTTGCATTTCTTCTCATTCCAATCCTTTGTTCCAATGTAAAACACGTGAGCCAATAGGAAGAAAGAATGAAAAAGAGAGAGAAAAAGGATTTTGGCTCCAATCCAGTTCAAGGTAGTCAGAAAGTCCCACTGAAACCTATGGAATTAGTCACAGCAGCCCTTGCTCTCTATAGGATTTCCATTGCTGTTCTAGGATTTCCATTGCTATCATAAATCCATTGAAGTCAATGAGCTCAGAAAGGTATAACTCTGCTTAGGATGGCTCTGTTATTGGCAGCTAACTTTAGTTGGACTGGGGCTGTGGACTTAAAGGTTTTTCTCTCTCCTTGTTCTTTTTATCTCGATGACACATACAGCTTGTCTAGGTATGACTGAAATCATGCCAAGAAATTAATGTTTTCCACTTTCCTGGGGGACAAGAGGACTGAAGGAATAACGTCAAATTATTTAGATTTTTCAATCAAAACCAAATCTAAGCAGCCCTATGTAAATGTTCCTATTGCCACTCAGCTATGGTATCAGAGCGACACACATTCTGAAATAGAGGGCTTATTTTATAGAGCTGGAACGTCCTGGAAAGGGGAGAGAGAGACCCTTAATGCATCTGTCTCCTTTTGTTTTCAAAAATTGCTGTCAGACATTTATTTTACTTTATCCTACAGTGCAAAATTTTAATCGACTGTACCAACATGCTTATTTCAAAAGGGGCAAGAAGAATTTGTTTTCTGCAGCTTCATCCTATGATCTGCTTATTCAGACTAAGAGGGCTGAAGAGTGTCGATTGGCAGCGCTCAAGGAAATGAAGGAGAAACAGGCTTTAATTGAACAGCGGAGAAAGCAAGTATTATTGGGGTGTTTTTTTGTTTTGCTAATATCAGTGCAGTCTTTGAACACTGTGGTGTCCTCCTGCCACCGTGTGACTGCTTACTAGTTGACAGAACGTACAGCCTTCTTTTTCAATGTTGTGATCTGCTGATAGGGATATATGCACACTTGGTTCTGGCTGCTGAGTGGGGCGGAGGGCTTTGCATTGTTTCCTGATGATCTAGCCAGATCTGTGCCAGATCTGCAACTCAGGGCAGAATGACAGGCGATGGTGGCAGACTCCTGTCTTTGAAGCAGCGTGTATGTGCATGGTTGCAAACGTATGAGCAGCAGACAAGAAGAGGGAGCAGAGCCAACTGTTCCCTGCCTGCCACTCTCTTCCTTTGTTTTGCAAAATGTCCATCCGGCTGCATTTCTTCCAGACAAACTCACAAGTCTGGAAATCAGCTATGATGGGCAGAGGGAAGAGCCTAGACTCTAGAGATAGGGGTTGTAGTGGGAAGCAGAAGATGGAGTGAAATTTTGACAGCCCTCCCCCCCATGCACTGCTTCTGTACTGGAAAACACTTCCCGCCCACTCCATTTTAGAGATCTTTGGCACCAGTCTGCAGTAAGAGATTCTGGTCTCCCTCAGTGAAAAGGAACTGAGGTAGGAGGGCTAGGGAAACGCCTCTGCCTGAGCATTCGGGGAGCCGCTGCTAGTCAGAGGTGTGCTGGGCTTGGCAGATTAATGGTCTGGTTCAGTGTGAGGGAACATCATAAGAAGCAGTCATTCGTGGTGAAGGAACCCTTGATACAACAGTTAGCATTATGTGTTTTACTTTGTGTATGTGTGTGTGTGTGTGATATATATATATATTATAGATAGATAGATAGATAGATAGATAGATAGATAGATAGAGATATATAAATATAGATATATATATAAAAGAACTGCAACTATTTGCAGGGCCCATAACTCGAGAAACTTCACACACAGGATTTCATTATCATTTACTCTGGTACTAATAACAGTGAGTGATATACACTCATTAGCATGGCAGAGTGAAGAAATTATCATTTCCTGTTTCCCTAGTACATTTTTATTCCACCCTTCTTCCACAGAGCTCAGGGAAATGTACATCATGTGCCTTTCCTCCATTTTATCCTCACAATAATCCTGTGAGGTAGGCTAGGCTGAGAAGTATGTGGCTGATCTATGGACACCCAGCCGGCTGCATGACAATGGCAATTTCAACTGTGGTGTCTCCCATTCTTGACAAAAACTCTAACCACTACACCATGTTAGTTCTCTAATTTTGATACTGACAGACATAAAGGATCAGCCCCCCAAATCCCCCTGCAAAACCTCAACATATCCCTAAAATCTCTTGCAAATGATGAAATTTAAACATCGGTGAAATAGCAGAGGCATGCACTGCAGCCTCGCGTCATAGACTGTCAGCAGACTCAATGCTTTCATAACCCTGATTAATTTTTACTACTGCCACTATTGCTATTTAAAATTGACTTAGTGTCCTCCATATTGTAGGAGTGGGGCTGTAAGAGTGAACTTTATTAAATGTTTTCCAAAAACCATGCTGATTATTTTTAGAGATAAAGAAGTGCTTCAGAAATGGAGGAGGCAGGCCAGGCTGATGAGAGAGAAGAAGGCATTACTGTACACCTTTTCACCAGAACAAGGAGACATGGTATGTAACCACAGCAGGAGCTGCCCAAAATAATTTCTTCTCAGGTTTGACACAAATGTGCCATGTGGTTTTGGCCTGGCTGTTGACCACCTTTGGCTTCTTTTGAATTGTTGTCCCATCCTAAAGGTCTGATTTAGCTGCTGGGACATACAGAGAAACTTGTGCTTCTTCTATTAAGCAGGATCTTGTTCCAGGCAAGTGGAGAGCAGAGCTCTGCCCCACTTGGTATAAAATCATCTTTTCCACCCCTTAATGAGAAGCCTTTTGCTACTGAAAATCCCATGTGCTGCTGGAAGCTGTGTTATGGCACCATTGTACACACTTTCACAGTGCCAGTGCCATGACCACACGGGTATACCCCATGTTTTCCTTGGTATCTCCTTATGCCCACCATTTCACTATAGCAATATAAAGTTTTTTAAAAAAGACAAAACCATGCCAATGGTGATGGGGGGGGGATGGCAACCATGAGTGGGGTAGGAAACAAAAATGGTCTCCATGTAGGTGTGGTTGAAAATCTCCACCTTCATGTCTACGTGGTCAGTAAACCCACTTTGACTGTGGTCTTCCCAGAAAGATCTTGTGCTGTACAGTGGCTAGATGGTTGGTCATGAAGAAGAGTATTCTGAGTATGGGAAAGGAGCGTGATCATGCAGCAGCGTCGCATGAGCAGTCCAAAAAATCTGCACCTGTTTAAGTCATAAAACCAGATCAAAAGCTCCGCATGGGAGCAGCTGTTGTGTACTGAAACTACGACCACCTCTTCTTTGCATAGGGGAACCAGGAGTGAGTGATTTGTACCAAGAGAAGCAGCAGATAAGCCTTCTCCTGCCTGTTACTGCTCCTCTGGAATCTCTGACTCCAAGCAGCTTTGCATCCAGCTCTGGTTCCTGGATTGTGTTTGTAGCAGTGTTCCCTCTAAGCTGAATTAGTGTGAGCTAGCTCATAGTTCTTTAGCCTCCAGCTCACACATTTTTGTCTTAGCTCAGGAAGGAGGGCTCCAGAGCAGACTAATTGATGCAGCAGCCAAATTGCTTGCTCACAACTTTAATGCCAGCAGCTCATAAAGTAGGATTTTTGCTCACAAGACTCCACAGCTTAGAGGGAACATTGGTTTGTAGTATGGCATAATTGTAAGGAATCTTTAGGTTTTCAGTCTTCATGTAGAATCAAACAGCATTTTAGCTTTAGATATTTACATTTTTATCCCACCTTTCCTCCAAGGAACTCGGGGCAGTGTCCATGGCTCTTTCCCCCTCCATTTTACCCTCACAACAACACCGAAGTAGGTTAAGAAAGAAGAGTATGTGACTGCCCCAAGGTTACTAGGTGAACCTCATGGTAGGGTTGGCTTTGAAACCTGGACCTTGCCAGTCCTAGGCTGACATAATAACCACTACACCACACCATCTCTTAGCAGAAGTGTTGGGCTGGTGAGTGAAATTTGAAAAGCTGCAAGCTGTCTCTACTGTAATTACAGAAGAATTACAGAGATACATCCTTAGCCTCTGCCTATGGCTACTTATTGACCTTCTATCATTAATATATCCTTGCCTAAGTGCTTAATCATTCCTAGTTCTGTAAGAAGCCAACAATACTATCAAAAGAGATGGATCCCTGAATGCAGAATTCTATGAGATTTGTGATAAGAGCATGTTAGGGAGCTGGAGCCCAGAATCCAGAGTACTGCCAACTTCTGGATGTGTTCCTTCAAAGTAAGATGAATCTCCAAGCACCAGGATAGCCATAAAAGACTGTATCTGCAATATGACCATAGGATTCTAGGGCAAAAAGCCATCAGCTGATGATCCAGTCCAGCTCTCTGCACTGATAAGAGCCTAATCAGCCCCTGACACTCTAATCCTCACAGTGTTAACTTTTCTTCAGTAGATATTTTATCTTAAATTGTTGTTGTCCACTGGAGGCTTGCTACAGGGAGCGGGTGCAAAAGCAAGTAAATACATACTCTAGCTTTTGATGATACAGGAAGGGCCCATGTGCATTGTAGGTGTGGAGACATCCTGCACACAGCTATTCCAAAGCTCTGGCTGCTCAGGCTGTTTGGAGGCGTTGAAACAGAAGGGCTTTAATTTAAAAAATAGGACTGTTAACATTGACGGATGCGTCCTGAGGTTTTGCCTCTGCCAGGTTGAAGACAACGCAGGCTAGATGTTACAGTTGTTCCAGGATGTTACAGTTGTTCCAGGAGAGAGAAAAAATCTGTCATGCATTTGCACACGTTTATTGTAAACATCAGACTACCAAAACGGCCCTGCAAGGCCAACTATATACACACCCACCCAGCACACCCCTAGTCCCATTGGAGGGTTTGAATTTCCCGCCAACGTGGCTATTGGTTGGTGCGGGGGGAACTAGGATCCTATGTTCCTATTGTTCAGGGGAACTAAGCTCCTGCCTGTGCCGTGGACCCCTAGTGACGGTCCACGTACATAACACTGGTCCCCAAAGAGAACATCCTTGTTTGTTTGTGTGTTTCTGGTGGGGCTTTATAAATGCACCTAATCCTCTATAGCTTAATTATGAAACCATTGTCATACAAAATCTAAGCATTTTACAGGCAGGCAGCACTGTCAGAAAAGTCCAAAGAGAAAAGGTTTGATGGCAGAAGGTGAATCTTGTAGGACAAGTCAGAATCAAGAAGGAATGCTTGAAGGAAGTGGCCGCAAAGTACCCTAGCAAAGCTAAGTTGCACTAAAGGACATGAGGAATTCAGATCCTCTTAGAGCTCAACAGTTTGCATTCAGAGGAGTAACTATGTGCATTGTTCCGAAAACAAGAAAGAGTCTTGTGGCACCGTAAAGTTCAACAGGTTTATTGTGGCAGAGGCTTGCAAGGGATAGAGCCCATTTCATCATCTGTAGCGATGGCCAGGTCCCCCTAAATTCAACCATAGTTGGGCTTTGGAAAGCCAAAAAGTTCTACAAAAAGCTTGGCTAATTCTGTTATTGGAATATCTCAGAAGACCTCCCCTCCCTTCCCTCCTCGTTTTATTCATTCATTTCTTTAAATATTGATTAGCCACCTTTTCCCCTTGAGGAACTCAAGGCAGCTTACAACATAAGTGAAACGGTTATTAAAAGAACACAATCAAAACGATATGAATAACACAATGATAAAAACCCATAAAAAGTCACAATTTAAAAACTCCAATTAGGACTGCCAATAAATAAAGACTAAATCACTCCCTGACCTGGATAGCCCAGGCAAGCACGATCTTGTCATATCTCAAAAGCTAAGCAGGGCCAGCCGTGGCTAGTAGTTGGAAAGGAGACCTCCAAGGAATACCGGGGGTATGACGCAGAGGCAAGCGATGGCAAAGCCACCTCTGAACGTCCCTTGCCCAAGCCCCACTAGGGGTTGGCTTGATGGCAAAAACCTCCAAATCAGTCAAATGCAGTGCTAAATAAATGCAGTCCTTCTCCCCCTCCCTCCCTATATCTTGTGGCTGTGATGTTGTGGCAACTGACCCTCCAGCCAATAGGTGGGGGCGGGTTCTTTCTTTCCCAGTACCTCAGATTCTGTTTGAACAATACTTCAGGCATGTGCAGTGTACCTTGGGAAATGTAGTCCCCAGGGTGCCAGCCTGACATTAGATGGTACCCTAGGTGCTTCTTTTCCTGAGACAGAGCGGGGGAAAGGGGGAGGGAAGCCAGGAGGAACAGAGAATGACTGTCAACTGGCTGGCCAGACACTGCCACTCCCACCAGCCCCAGCCACAAAGTGAGTGGAGTGGAGAGGAAAGGGGAGGAGGGAGGAGGAAGCAAGCAAGAGGGGCAGGAAGGAGTTCTTCACTGGCTCAGCGATACAGTCGAACTGCGAAAAGCATTCAGTGCTGTAATGCTCTTTTATTGTACTGAAAGTGAACATTACAAACTGCCAGAGCTTGTGTGCCAGACATAGGGAATACATATTTCAGTAGTATATTTCAGGTGTATAAATTGTTGCCCTCGCTTGAGTTCAGAAGGACAACGAAAATGTAAAGCGGTGGGGCCAAACAGCTCAAAATGCAACAGGCACAACTGTTGACATTTCTATATTAACCTCAAGTGTGGATATCATAAGCAACCATAGTGACCACTCAGTCAGTGGCCGGCACTTCCTTCTTTCCTTGCACTGGATCCTGGGGGTGTTCATTTTGCAGCCCTTTCCAATCCTGTCTGTCTTTAGTGGGCCTCTTTCATACACATTCCTGGGCTTGCAGCTGCCGGACAATTCTCCTCTTCTCCTCTCACAGATTTTCCAGTTTATCTCCCACCTCAGCTCTGTAGCATCATATTTTTTCTCTCTGAGTCTGAGCAATTCCACCTCAATAAGAACTCTGTGTAACTCAAAAGCTCACAAGATGTTGACTTCCTTTGGACAATTGTATTTGTATCAATAAAATGGATATGAAACACAAGAGGGCGCTGGAACGCTACATATACAGCTGTGGTAAGCTTGCAGGCAAATCATCATGTTTAGTCACAGAGGAACAAACTCATCAGGCTTTATCTAGTTCAGGGGTTTTTTTGTGTGTGACCTTGATCACTGCCAATCTTCCAAGTGATTAGGCAATGCAGATTGCAGCTTCTGAATTAGCAATGGAGAACGTCCTGCATAATATATTATTATTGCTTACAGTCGCATTTCTCATACTAGTGCTATACAGTTTCACTTATCCAAAGTGTTACAGGGGGCAGGGGGAGGACATCCAAAGCACAGGGAAATCAGGAGTGTTGCTGCTGATGTAGAATAATGTATGTAATAATAATATGTATATGCAGGGGTCATTTCATAGAAAAAGAGGTGCAGGAGCTCATTAGCATAACTTATTTGCATATGCCACCCCCCCTGACATCACCGGAAGTGTGGCAGAAGGCAACACCCATCACTCAGGCTCCACTGGACTGTTTTGGATTGCTAGGTATTGGGGGGGGGACGTGCAGATCTGTCCTCGCAGAGGAGGGAGAGCTTGTACCTGAATAAAACTTGGTCTTAAA